GGGGTCTGCACACTCAGACCCCCCCCCAGGGTGGGTGCCAACCCCAAGGGACCGCAGCAGGGAGGGCAGCAGGACATGAACGCCCCCAGCCCAGCCACCCGCCTCTCCCAGCTCCCCGCTTGCCTTGACCTGGGGATTGGAGCTGGACACACGCCTGGGGGGTGCCCACTGGCTTTCCCACCTCCCCAGGACTCCCTCTTGCTTTGTCCCATGTTCTCCTGCAGCTGCTGCACCCCGGGACCATCACCCGCCTGCCTGATGCCTGCACACCCCGCTGCCCATGCCGCAGTCCCTCTGCTCCCAGAAGCGGAGCTGCCTGCCCGTGCTGCCGGACATCTCCCATCCCAGGCATCACCCCAGGGCAGGCGGCCCCAAGAGGTCCAACACTGGGTGAGAAGATGCCCCAAAGCCCCAGCGCGTACCTGGATCTGCCCCTTGCCCATGATCTTGTCCACGATTTCATTGTTGTCCTTGTTGAGCTTGGTCTTGTCGTAGCACTTCTCGTAGCAGAGGATGCGCAGGGACTGGGAGCCCTCCAGCTCGATCTCGAACTCCTGGGGACATGCAGGGAGGGTGGCTCAGCCCCAGAGCAGCTCCAAAATGGGTCTGGAAGGGAAAGCTGGGGGGCACAGTCCTCTCTCTGTGTCCCACCCTCCTCTCACCTCATTCCACTGCGGCTCGGTGGTGTCCCGAAAAACCCTGGTCTTGGCTTTGCTGACAAAGTAGCCGAAGGAATCCACCTCCAGCGTGCAGTAAAGGTCTGGGGGGGGCAGAGAACGCTCAGTGCCAGCAGGGAACATCCCCACCAGCTGCCAGGGGACTGTCCCCATGCTGGACCCCAGCTCCCCCATGGCACTGGCCCCCCTGAGCAGGACTGGGCGCCCACACTTACCCTGGTCTTGGCTTTGCTGACAAAGTAGCCGAAGGAATCCACCTCCAGCGTGCAGTAAAGGTCTGGGGGGGGCAGAGAACGCTCAGTGCCAGCAGGGAACATCCCCACCAGCTGCCAGGGGACTGTCCCCATGCTGGACCCCAGCTCCCCCATGGCACTGGCCCCCCTGAGCAGGACTGGGCGCCCACACTTACTGGCAGACTGCTTGAAGCCCTTGGCGGCGTGGACGATGACGTGCAGGAACCCGTAGAGCCCGGGGGACTCATTATCTGCCGCGGGGCCTGCGTCAGGGCTCAGCTGCCACTGCCCGCGCCCCAGGGACAACTGGCCGTCCCCATGCCATAGCCAGTGCTAGGTGCCTGCGGTGACACCCCAATGTCCCCAACCCCCCTGGAAAAGGACACGTATCCCCCACTGCTGATCATCCCTGCTGGACATCCCGAGCTCCGCTGCTCCTGGACAGCCCTGGGGAGGTCACCAAAGGGCTGGCTGGGTCTCACCCTGGGGACACCCTGGTCCTGCCCAGCCCTTGGGGGTGCTGGAGGGACCCCGAAGGCAGAGAAAGAAACCACAGCTTTCTATCTGCTCAGCACTTCTGGTTCTTCCTGCTTTCTATCGACAAAGTGATTTGACAAGTGTTAAAGAGATACAATGTTTTGAGAGATATTATTTATCAAATGTTGGCGTTGTTTGAGTGGCATCTGTCCTCCTGCCTTGCAGATAACTGCCCATTGGTTCTCTCTCCCCCTCACTCCACATAAGTTAATGTTAGGTTCGGGTTGATGGGATTTAAGAAACTTTTTACTGGAGG